TACTGAACACAATTTATAAATCGTGTTTGTGCATGTCAACACATCAGCTTTTATGACCACTGAAAATATTTTTTCGCTTGCAAGGTGGGTGAAAAAAAATTCCACTGCAAAGTTAATGCATATAGTGTGATTACTTCTGGGTTTCCTGGCTATTTTGAACATATTTGCATATTTACAGCAAATGAGAGCTAGGCCAATGAGCGTGCATATATCTAAACACAAAGGTCACAACCTATGACAACGAATGCCTAGTTTTGGAATAAGATAACAAAACTAGTTTACCAGTTATCCTTATTTACAGTAAGCATGGCGTTGATATCCTACTGATGACATTCAGAGGTGTTCAGCAGTTATTGAACATATCACTGTTGATTAATTTTGTAATGATAAAAACTAGGTCAAAAACATACCAGTGTTGACTTCAGTTCCTTTCATTACTGAACTCATTCACCCCTAAAGACACATTTGAACTCTTCCAATTCAAAGGTTTGAATAGTTCATTATGAAATTTCAGGGGTGAATGGGTTAATTAACTAGACTTGCCCAAATTAGCCTTTGCAGTCTGAGCATTTCTGGTTGTACCAATGCAATGATTAACAGTTTTTGAATCATTATGATATATTTAATTATTAAATTAAGGAATTAAAGATGACTTATAACATCAATTAAATTGCACTTGGGGAAAGAAAGTACATGACCGTAACTCTAGAAATCTGAAGGTGATTGGAAAGAAATGACATATTGACCATACATCTACCAGCATGGAACGAAAATGTCAAAACAACGAGGATCCTTATACATGTGTGGGAAATAAGACAGTGATCTAGACACCACCACTAAACATATCACTTGTGATAATTGTAACCTAAACTTTCGTCAAATGTGCACAAATATCACGGAAGCTGTGTACACATGTATCCAGAATGGAGAACTTGTAAACATGCTGTGGACCTGTAAATTCTGCAGGAGAACCAAACCAACTCTTGACAACATAGGCAGCGCATAAAACTACTATTGGAGTCAAATCAAATCAGGATAGGCAGAAAAAGGATTAAAGCAAATAGAGGTTCGTCAAGCTTAAGCGCAATGTCTGATGAGCAGGACGATCGTACCTTTGTGTATGCTACATAGACTCTTCGGACTGTGAGAAATTTAATAAAATCGCGTAGAATGCACAAGTTCTCACCAGGACTCTGCCAATGTATTTACCAGTTTTTAATAACCCAACAAATATATGTCAGAGTTGATACCAGACTCCAAGCTGTCTGCTTTAACAATGACAACAGCCACAACATAATATGCCGGTTTGAAATTCATCATAATGATTGTTTAATGTTAACAACCCTGATGAAAGACAAAACTACTAAGCATTGTGTCGTGTTTCTTGGAAGCAGTTTGAAGAGAGGGGGTCATCATCTATGTAAACAAGGAAATAGATAGTGACATAGATGAAGTGCAGCTAATACCCCCACAAGATGACTGTGCATCCTGTGTTGTCCCAATCAATAAAGACCAACTCTTTATCAGCTGCATATATATGTATATCGGAGTCCGAACAACTCAGATAATGACATCAACATGGAATTTATTGAAACGTTGACCTCAGAAAAATACTCGCACATCCTAATAGTAACACAAACAACTAATGTGAACATCAACCATGCTGCATATATATATCCTTCTTCCTAGAAAAAACCAAAGACGGCTTCATATACTTTTTCCAACATGTCACCAACCAAACTCGATACAGAGAGGGCCAGATGTCAAACACACTAGACTCATCAATATTCACAAAGAGCGAATGGTTGACAACCTCAAATAGGAGCCAAGTGTAGGAACAGGCAAGCGATCATTTAGTACGTTAACTAGCCTACAATTATTGAGCATATATACGTTGGTACCTGAATACCCAAACAAACCTCCTCCTCTGAGCTTTCAAGGTGTTTAAGACCATACATGACAACTTTAACAAAACGGACCTGAGTGAACTTGAAAACTGTAATGGAATATCAGATGCCTGGGAAACCCTTAAAGTCCAAATCAACAAAGAAATGAAAGTAACATATACCAGTAAGCAAGGGCCAACAGTCTACAGCAAACAGTATACCAACAAGGAAGAAAACTTAAGGAATTATAAGCAGACCAGGACTGTGTCCACCAAAATCATCAAACAGTCAAAGTACCACTATGAGAAGGAAATATTGGCAGTACAAATGTATTAAAAAACTAACAGGAGAACTAGCCAGTACCAACTGACATTGCAGATACCTTAAATAACTATTTTGTCAGTGTTTAATCTTTGATACTAACCAAAATGACCATCCTACAATACGAGACAATATAATACTGTACACCTTCTAGATGAAATATTAATTGTCACAGAAAACGACGTAACTAAATCCATATTAAGAGTTAACCAGAACAATCATCAGGCCCAGATAATATACACTCAAGACTTCTAGTCCAAACCAAGGAAAGTATATATAAAGCTCTAACAATAATTTACAACAAATCATTACAGGAAGGGAAACTACCAGATTCATGGTAAAAGGCTAATGTGTGTCCCATCTTTAAGTCGAAGGGCTCAAGGAAAGAGCCAGGACATTAGCGGCCAATTATCTTAACATCTACTCTGTGTAAAATACTTCACAAATAGTATGTGACTCAATACTATATGAGCATGAATAACTGATTAAGTAAAGAACTACATGGCTTCAGATCTAGATCAGGATGCTCATGCATATTGCAGCTATGAGAGACACGTTGAGATTGGACGCAGGCCATGGACAAGGGAAACAATGTTGACTTCATCTATTTAGATATCAGCAAGGCCATTGATAAGGTTCGTCATCTCCTTCTGTTATGCAAATTAGAACAATACAGTACAACAGGGAAACTGCTTACCTGGATTAGAGATTTTCGCACGAATATGGAACAAAAAGTTGTTATCAATGGTAGCTCCTCCAGAGCATCACCTGTAACAAGCGGTGTACCAGTGTCTTTATCTATAGGAATGATATACCAGTAGTGACTAAGTGTGTATGATCAAATTATTCGCGGAAGTTACTGAGCTAAGTTCAAAAAGTTTGGCAGCAAAGGATCTGAACAAGTTTGTCCATGGACAAGTCAACGGTTGATGAAACTTAACACATGGAAACTGGAAACAATGTAAATACCTCAAACGACACCATGATGGTATAGGTACGGAACACTAGCACTGAAATACAAAATGTACCCAAATTTTTTTTTTTTTGGGATCATCATAGAAGATAAACTGCACTTCTCGGCCAAGGTCACTTAGCAAATAAAGCTAACCAAAGCGTGGGTACTATATTCAGAATTGTTTTGTTCATGGATTTAGCATTGTTCACATCCTTGTACAAAACACTAGTAAGATCCCATTTGGAATATGTTACAGGAGTCTGGTCACCACTACATGCTAAGGAGTAATCAACTACAAACAATTTCCAAAGGCGAGCTACAAAAAGAGTACCAACTTTGAAAGAATAAAATTGCCCTATCCTGAACTTAAAATCCTTGGATTACCAATGCTTGAAAACCGACGTGAAAGGTCTGACCTGATTACACTTTATAAAATAACTAATAACATAGACACACTAGACTAGAGAAGGATGTTCCATTGTCCAAACTATACAGCAACAAGGGGGAATGCCAACAGACTATTCAAAAAAACATTTAGGCTCAACACAAGTAAGAACATCTCAAATTGTGTCATCTCTGCTTGGAATGCAGGTCTTTCTCTTACCCCGGACAGGTGTATCCGCACTTTTACCGGTGTGAGATTTCCTTGTCTCACCCTAGGGTTGAGACGGGGCATTCCCCTATTCATAACAATGGCATGCTGTCACTTCAACAATACAATGACGTCACGTCAACAATCCATTAACGTCACGTCAACCCTGAATTTAGCATGTAACGTTATCATTACATTGTGTATATATATGATACACAATGGGAGAACAGAGAAAAGAGAAAAAGAATTATTCACCCCCTTGTGGGTGAGATAGAGGAATCTAAACTCTTGGGGAAAGATTCTTAAGTTTCCAAACACTCGGCAAAGCCTTGTGTTTAGCAACATAAGAATATTCCCCCTCGGGTTGAGATTCTCCTATTTCACCCCCAAGGGGGTGAAAGATTCTATAAGTCTGCATGACCAAGTTGTATCTGCAAAGTCTGTGAACTTGTGAAGACCACTATGGACTCGAAACTGGTGTTTTAATTCACCTACCAGAAAAAAAAACCAGACACTAAGATGTTTGGGGATTGCTCAGCCACTTATATTAATTAGCCTGCCCCTTAAAATTAAACGCTAAAAGTATGTGTAAAAATCAGTGTGTCTAGCAAGGGTACCTTCTTTTAAATGTAATATATAACTGTGCGTATGCNGGGGGGGGGGGGGGGGGGGGGGGGGGGGGGGGGGGCAATTAAGGGCCCACATATCATCGACATATACAGAAAATACCACCAAGCCTCAACCAAGTGTGAATTTACAACGAGGCCAAAAGAGTTATTTAAAAGAGTACTGGTATGTCTGTATCCAACTTCCTCCACATTAAGTAAATATAGAATGAAGGTGTACTGTACAGGTCTTGTAAATGTATCAGACCAAAATAAAAATTGAAATAGCATTTTAATAGCAAAGAAAACATTGTTTGAAAATCTGCAAAGAAAAAACATATTCTGCTTGATTCAATTTAAAATAAATGAATATAATCAATTTTTCATTCTGTTTTCTGATTTGTGATCAGAGTAACACATGACGAACAATATCATACACTACATGTATACATTACACAGTATTACAGCAATCAATTTTACCAAGACACAAATATTGGTTATTGCTAATAGGAATATCGATGACGACGAAAACAGAAGATCTATTATATACATACCCCAGTTAGTGTTTGAGCGCAAGATACATATGGTTCTACAAACATGTGAATCACATAGATATACAGCACTTCGTTAGACAGATTTACCTCTATCGCTCGGTTGCAGTTCCTGGTTTCACCAACAGCGTCAAGTCTATTTCCGGGTCAGAGTAGCATGCTGGCTTCCATATTTGGATGTATCCCCGTCACAGCCAGCTTCGAGTTCTTACCTATATCTACTGTTGATCAATCAGACCGTTGCTGGTATTTAACAGCAAAATCGATAGTGGTCTTCTCCGTTGACAAGCTGAGCCTAAGGTTACAGCAGATGAAATATCGTCGGAAGTCACATCAGAAGTGCTCGTCGTCAACGAGAATCTCGCGAGATTTGGATATACACACATAACAAAAGCACGTGCTCATTTGTCAAAAGCAGACGTCAAAATGCTCGCTATCAACCTGTGCTGTGAAGAAAGCTAAAACTTTGTAGGTATGTACAGTATGACGGAGAAGATCACCTATTGACTACTGAAGCAGTAGGGAATGTCTCGGCATTGCCATTTCCTTTAGGTCACAGCACGTTAAAGAAAGTTTCATGTATAAAAATATCGTCTGCTAAATTTCGTGATTCGGATTTAAGTCTGATGTCTGCTATTTTGATGCTACTATTTGCAGACAAAACATTTGGAGCTGATGACAAGAAAGAAGTTTAGACTGAAAAAGGATTGATGACGAAATGTTTTACGGTCCTTTTGATCAATGTACTGTAGGGTAAATGCATCAAAAATGGAACGGTAACCAAAATAGAATCGTTTTTTTCTGTATGATGCAGCATTTTCTATTTTACAATTGAAAAGGAATGGTATGATGGCGAGTGTTCCATTTTGGGTACTCGACTAATCTGACTTGCTTTACTGAGCTCTATAAAAAGCTAAAGGCATGCAGTATTTCAGTACAGTAAAAAATTTGGTCTTTCAGAAACTTTATAAATTATAGGAAATATTCATATTTCTCTTTAAAAAGTGTCCCATTTTGGGTACCCTCACCGTATAGTACAAAATATAATGCAGTCTGCAAACATTTACAGTTCTTTCATTCTACAAACATTTCCAAAAATATTTAGAAGGTCTAGTCTATATAGCTAGCATATATAGCATTGAATGACCGGTTTCTGAGCCCAACCATTTTGGGTACCCTCACCCTACAGTAGCTGTACAGTACAAAACATGATATATCTTGTAGTCTGCAAACATTTACAGTTCTTACATTCTGCAAACATTTATAAAAATATTTAGAAGGTAGTCTAGCATATAATAGCATTGGATGACTGACAGTTTCTGAATTTACTGAATGAACAAATTAGTTAAAAAAGATAGTTCTGAAAAATCATGTATGCAGACTACAATAATTTCCTTTACAATGAAAACTTCAATCCTGTCATTGTCTTTGAACAATGCCATTACCATGCCCATGGCTAGCAGTAAGAAATTGGTCAGATTTGGGGCCAACTTGGCATCAAACATTGGCCTGACAACAAACCAATATTGGCCCAACATTTTTTTTTACCGTCAAACAATTTATTATAGGTAACAGAAAATATTGTACAACATTGACAGGGCACTTGGTGGCAAGTTAAGATCTTAATAGCAACAAATTAGCATAAAACAATCTTATCTAATGTAGTAATTAATTTGCATTAAAAGATCCTATTAAATTGTACAATATAGTTTCTACATATATTAATCATAGCTTCACTTAAGCTTCATCATTCATAATTATCCCCCGTTTTCACTGAAACGGGAGATATTAATTTGGGTTTGTTCGTCTGTCCCTCTGTCTGTCACGCTTCGTTTCCATGCAATAACTGCAACAAATGTTAATCAATTTTCCACAAGGCCGGGTTAAATGCCTTAAGGGCTTGGCCAAATTTTATGACCACTTCAGCAGACTTTATTTGGCTTAGTTATGGCCCCTTGAATAATGAAAAACATCATTATCTGCCATTTCCATGCAATAACTGCAACAAATGTTAATCGATTTTCTTCAAACTTGGTAACAGGGTTAAATGCCTTCAGGGCTCAGCCAATTTTGATGACCACTTTTAGCGGACTTTATTTGACGACTTATGGCCCCTTGCATAACGGAAAACGTCATTATCTGCCGTTTCCTTGCAATAACCCTCGCAAATATTATCCAATTGGGCCAAAAAAAAAAAGGTGTCTGTTTAGGGTTCCCGACTGACCCTAGCTTTTAACCCCCGACCCAAAAACTTTTTATTTTATTTTTTAAAACCTGCTGATTTTCGAATTTTAGAAGGTTCCTAGCCTTTAAAAATAGCTTCAAGCTCCGTATTGGCACTAAATGTCATCATATGGATCACAATTTGCCTCCAAATGAACCTTGTTTATGTAATTCTTTGTTATACATACAATAGTTGGGTCATAATCACATGACCAAAAATGTACCAAAAAAATCAAAAAAATCCAACCTACCTACCCTAGTTTTTTTGGCAATGCAACCCTAAACATGCAGACTATAAATTTTTTTTGGCAACCACTTTAATCAGACTCCATTTGGGAGAGTTATGGTCCCTTAATTAACGAAAAACATCATTATCTGCAGTTTCTGCTTAATTACTCTAGCAAGTATTAGCCAAATTCCTTCAAACTTGCTACCAATGTTGGTGTTCCTCTGTTTTTCCACCCATCTCGGGCACTCTTTGGTTTTCGTGTGATAATTACTGTAGATATTGTGCAGATATTTCAACCAAATTCCGTATGCACATGTCCGACTCATGCTAAGTTTGCCAACCGATGTGATTTGTGCATATATTTATGGATAATTAATGAGGTTAGTAAATTTTGATGGATTAAACGATTAATTTACACCATCATACCTACATGTTCAATAAAAAGTCTAACTTCTGTATAAGGCTTTTTTTTAGGTCACCTAAGCTTTGCTCAAGTGACCTATTCCAATCACTTTCTGTCTGTCGTCGTCTGTCGTGTGTAAACTTTTTACATTTTCAACTTCTTCTCAAGAACCAGTGGATGGAATCATCCTTGGTAGATGAGGCTACAAAATTGTAAAATTGGGATTCCTACCACCCCTTGGGTGGGGCTCCAAAGGGAAAATTAACCAATATTTCAAAAATCTTCTTCTCAAGACATTTTCTTCTCAGTCATTTTCTCTGGATGGATGGAAAGAACATCAGGGGCTTTATTTAAATTGTAAATTTCAGGACCCCCGAGCTATCTGTTCTCTCTTGGGGAGGGGGTAAAGTTTACGATAGTTTATATAGGGAAACAACACTTTTGGGAATATTTTGACAATTTTCAGTAGGAAATTATTCTTATTTGGTGAGAATTATTCTTGGAGGAAGGTGTTTTTAAATTGTAAAATTTTGATTCCTAACCCAACCTTAGAGGCCAGGGCGAGCCCCAAAGGGAAAATTTACCAAAATATCAAAAATCTTCTTCTCCAGACTCAGAGGTACTACAGTCAATTTCAGTTCATGGATAGAAAGATCGTCAGGAGCTATATTGAAATTGTCAATTTCAGGACCCCTGAGCTATCTGTTCTCTCTTGGGGAGGGGGTAAAGTTTACGATAGTTTATATAGGAAAACAACACTTTTGGGAATATTTTGACAATTTTCAGTAGGAAATTATTCTTATTTGGTGAGAATTATTCTTGGAGGAAGGTGTTTTTAAATTGTAAAATTTTGATTCCTAACCCAACCTTAGAGGCCAGGCCGAGCCCCAAAGGGAAAATTTACCAAAATATCAAAAATCTTCTTCTCCAGACTCAGAGGTACTACAGTCAATTTCAGTTCATGGATAGAAAGATCATCAGGAGCTATATTGAAATTGTCAATTTCAGGACCCCTGAGCCATCCGTTCCCCCTTTGGGAGGGGGTACAGGTTACTATAGTTTATATAGGGAAACAACACTTTTGGGTATGTTTTTTCCATTTTCAGCAGAAAATTATTCAAACTTCGTCAGAATCATCTTTGGTGGATGAGGGTATTACATTGTAAAATTGGAATTCCTGTCCCATTCCCAGGGGCTAGGGCTGGGCCCCAAATGGAACCTTTACCAATATTTTAAAATTCTTATCCTTTGATGACATGACAAGTATCTTATTTCACTTAGTTTACATGCTAATTTCCACATCACATCTAAACAATAAGATAAAGCTACCAGTACCTATAATATAACTCAGGTGACCACTAAGGCCCTTGGGCCTCTTGTTTTCTTAAGAGTTTCAAGCTATACATTATGTCTCAACAGCACGATGCTCACATGTTTAAACCTAACCTCAATAATGTTTACCTACAATATGTCCTGCAAGCGGGGGAAATAAATTCCACAAATTTGCTTTCTAAGTTTTATTCCATGGAAGGGAATCAAAATGTGTCTTAAGAACTGTTCAGTGGTCATGCTAACGTACTATACATGTGTAACAGGAGAGGAAAAATGCACGGCCAGACCAGGGTTCTAACCCGGGACCTTCCGAACTCTAGACAGATGCTCTACCAATTGAGCTACGTGGTCTCTGACGATCGACCAAGTCCAGTTCAGCTACACATGTATATGTACTGTATAACACATGGATGTTAATCCCAATATTGTTAAGGTTACGAGGGTCAAATGTGATTAAAAAACAACTTGAAACAAGTTTTTCTAAATTAAACAAAGAGGCATATACGGTCATCGGTGATGATATTTAGCCAGTAGCATGCTGGGATGGAAGCTAGGCTACATAATCAGATGTAGGGCTCTTCAAATCACTTTTGGTCCAATTGATTCTTTTTCTGTCTGTTCTTAAACTATTTCTCAGAGAGGACCTGAAGAATCTTTCTTAAGCTTCACATGTTGATTTTCATTGTCCCAAGTTGTCTACTCCATCTTGAATTCTGAGACTGATCAGACAACCAAGATGGCAGAAACATACTTGCCTATTTTGGAGGGATACACCTGATTTTGAACCCTTCAATTGAGCATTTTGAACCAGTGAATTTGCTAAACTTATATACCTCTTTTTTAAGCTCTGACGATTTCATCTGAAAAAACAGCTCAAATGATGCCATTTACAAGTGTTTTTCCCCCCTAGGGTGTATGTACAACACACATTCCAATAATGTTTTCAATTCTTTGCAGACAGATATTTCCAGCTTGAAGTTTGAGTTAAATTGTGTTAGTGCTACTGCTTACAAAGTGAAGGGATCTTCTCAAATTTTATATGTTGGTTCCTCATGGTCCTTTATTGTGCATATTAAATAAAATAATGAGGACTGGTCTAAAAACAAAGGTTGTTGGTAAAAGGCCATCTTTTGCGAGTTACCTGTAATGCATTGTTGGAACTATTTTTCATTTTCAAAACATTTTAATACAAACAAAAATAACAACAAGTATTACAGAAGAAATATAACAGTACGTGTATTAATTAACAAAGGGATGAGACAACAGACTAAGCCTATATAAGTCTTTTCCTATAGATAACCGTTAGCACTTAAGATTGGATAGATTTCGCATGATCTCTTATTCAGTAGTTGTGCAAATTCAAATTAAAACTTATTACTGCTATCAGAAATTTCAGCCGTCTTGAGTTTTGAGAGTTAAAGTTTGCTAGCATTGTTTCTCAGAAATTACCGGTAATAATTACTAATTATACATTTTTTTCAAGTTTCACATGTAGATGTGGATAATGAATTTTGGAACAGATTAAAGAATAAAATTGCTGACAGGTGGCCATCTTGGATCTTTTGAGTTAAAGTTTGTTATTGCTGTTTCTCAGAAAACGCTTGCAGGATATCTGAATAAAATTTCACATGTATGAATAGGTCCCCATGGTCCATACTTCTTTAAACAAGTCAAAGTACGATTGCATGAAAATGATTTTTGTGATGAAGTTTGATTTTTAGCTCACCTGGTCCGAAGACCAGGGTGAGCTTATGCCATACCGTTGTGTCCGTCGTGCGTCGTCTGTCCGTCAGTCCGTCAGTCCGTCTGTCAACAATTTCTTTAAACGACTTCTACTTCTTCACCACTGATTGGAATTTAACTTAATTTGACTGGAAGCATCCCTAGGTGGTGGGGAATCAAATTGTACAAATGGTGGGGCTAACCCCCCAGGGAGCTGAGGGACGGGGCAAAAAGGGGGCAATTTGGCTAAATTGCTTTAAGCGACTTCTTCTCTGGAACTAAGAGATGGATATCAACCATATTTGACTGGAAGCATCCCTATGTGGTGGGGATTCAAAATTGTACAAATGGTGGGGCTGACCCCAGAGGGGGCTTAGGGGCGGGGCCAAAAAGGGGTAATTTGGCTATATTTCTACAAACAATTTTTCCTGTAGAACTATGCACTGGATATCAATCATATTTAATCAAAAGCATTCATTGGATGCAGGGATTCAAAATTGTACAAATGGTGTGGCTGACCCCACAGGGGGCTGAGGGGAGGGGCCAAAAAGGGTTATTTGGCTATATTGCTTTAAGCGACTTCTTCTCTGGAACTAAGTGATGGATTCAAAATTGTGAAATGGTGGGGCTGAGGGCGAGGCCAAAAGGGGGCAATTTGGCTAGAATGCTATAAACGACTTCTTCTCTGTAGAACTTTGCCATGGATATCGATCATATTTGGTCGGAAGTATTCATGGGAGGCAGGGATTCAAAATTGTACAAATGGTGGGGCTGACCCCCCGGGCTTAGGGGTGGGGCCAAAAAAAGTTTATTGCCTGGAAATGATTGAGATCCCCACCATATAACCACATATACAATTGCTGAGTATAAAGAGAAGAATGCACATTTGCTTCCAGGATGGCCCTAGGGTCTGGGCCGAACCTTGGAAACATAGTCCTTGGGCCATAACTTTAAAACGGCTGAGATCCCCACCCCAAAATTATATATACAAATGCTTGGCATTAAGAGACGAATGCAGTCACAATATTAGAATAGACCCTGGGGTCTGACCGAACCCCTAGGGACCTAGTTTCTTAGTCACAGCTTGGAAACAGTTGAGATCCCCACCCTATAACCATATAGACAATCGCCGATTACAAAGAGATGAATGCACATATGCTTCCAGGATGGCCTTGGGGACTGCCCCACCCTTGGAGACTTAACCCCTGGATCATAATTTATAACTTTGAAATGGTTAAGATCTCCACCCCAAAACTATATATACAATTGTTGGGCATAAAGAGACAAATGCAGTCATTATATTAGAATTGACACCAGGGTTTGTCCACCCTTGCAGACTTAATTCCTGGGTCATAACTTTGAAACGATTGAAATACCCACCCCAAAACTATATATATAAATGCTGGGCAAAAAGAGACAAATGCAGTCATGATATTAGAATTGATCCTGGGGTCTGGCCACAACCGTAGGGACCTAGTTTCTGAGTCACAGCTTGGAAAAAGTTGAGATCCCTACCCCATAACCATACATAAAATTGCTGGGCATGAAAAATGAATACAGATATATATGCTACAAGGATTGGCCTTGGGGTCTGGCATATTCCCTTGGATCTCATTTGGAGAATATAGAATATTCTGCCATGATTGCTTAGATATCCAGGTGAGCAATACAGGCCCTATGGGCCTCTTGTTTAATTGAGGAATAATTGAAGTATTGGTCCAAATGAGGAGGATTTTGTAATTCAGATAAATTGTAGTATTGGTCCAAATGAGGAGGATTTAATTGAATATGAATTTCAAACACCAGAAATCTTTGGTAATATTCATATACCTGTGTCAGAAAGTTTGACAGGATGTATTGTGGTATATAGGGAGCATCCATCCGTCTGTCCACACTTAGGTTTCTGCAAGATAACTTATATCTTTCAGTTTTGATGAAACTTGGTGTGCATGTACATTATATGAAGGTTGATCAGGATAAGTTCAAAGATGAGAAATGTTTGTGCTTAATTAATTAGAGTACTGTGCTCTGATTGGTCCATTTCCAACTTTAAGTTTCCGCAAGATAACTATCATTCAAATTTGGTGAAACCTGTTTTGCCTACTTGGTTATACAAAAGCTGAGGCCTAGTTGAGCAAAATTTGCACATAATCAATTAGCCTTCTGTGCTCTGATTGGTTAATGGTTTCTGCACAATAGCTTTGTCAAATATGACAGCTTTATAATAAATATTAATATTATACAACGACAAAGGCTTAGCTTAAGCATGAGCAAAATCCTGCATATAATCATTACTGCTATTTGATTGGACAATGGGTTCCGTACAATAATTCAGTCAAATATGGCAATGAGACTTTGGTAAATATTTACACTTTGTCTAAATATTTTACACTTTGTCTATGTCTAAAAGCGAAATCTGCTTGTTAGTTATAAACAATAGAAATATTTTTGGTTTTAATGGTCTAAGATGAATTGATTATTTATTTGCAACATCGATGTCTATTTTCATGGTTTGAAATATACAAAGGGAAACAATTCCAATGCAAATCAATTTTTAAATAAAGCAGGATATATGAAATATATATATATATATACTCTTTAAGCTAAAGTTGGTTAAGTAAAGTATGTTGTCCTCTTTGGGATTCCAAGCAAATTTTTACAGGACAAAATATTTTTTCATAGAACTAAGACCAATGCTTGTCGAAAATATTCTTCATGGAAATGTACAAGAATTTGTACAATATATTTGTCCTCTAGAATCACAAAAGTTTTTAGACATTATAACTTGACATGAGTTAATTTTACACCCATCAAATTGTATAATGACTTTTTCAATGTGAAAGTCTTGAGCTTGATATATGTTTTAGGAGTGTGAAATTCCCATGCCCTGCTGGGAATAAATGTTTTCTAGTTTGTTTCCTTTTTATTTTGCAGGTTAAACTGAATAAAGGTGAAAGATGGACATTGAAAAGGAAAGTCAGAAGCTGGTGACTAACATCTTAGTGGAGCTCTGTGATCAAGTGCTTGAACATTGTCATAGAAATGTGTGTACTGAAAACAATGGAAACAAAATATTTGATGAAACAGAAATTACAAAATGTGTCCAAGAAACACTTTCTTATATTGTTGAACGGTGTTGTCTTTGTCCAAATCAAGAACTAAAAGTGAATATTGAAGACGGTAAATTAAAAACAACTTGTAACATTCTTGCTGATGAAGATAGGAAAAAAGACCGGTATTTAGATAGCATGTTTCACCAATCAGCACCAATAAGTCAGGTTGAGAAAGCTCAAAACACAAGTAGCAAAAGTTCATATATGTATCATGTTTTGGGGATAGAAGAAGATAATGTTTCTATCAAATGTCATTCACAAATGACTGAGTATTTAGCAATAGATATAGACTGTACAGATTCTGAGCAGACGGCGCCAACACATAATACTGTACCTTGTGGAAAAGATGAAGTCTCTGTTCAGGAAAACGGGTGTTTGGAAGATGAATTTGCCTTTGATAAAGAAGATAATTTCTCAGAAAATGATCTTTGTCAGGACATTGGAGAAGAATGTTTTGATGTAAAAGAGGGTGTTAAAGAAGCACAATTAGATAAACAAGTAGCTGTGCAACATGCGATAGATGCCGATATGGAATCTGTGGATCAAACAATTGTACCAGACCAAGAACACAGTACCATTCAGCTATATCAGGAAGCTGAACCTCACAAATTGGATCGGACAAATGAAAATTTTGAGATTCAAGTAAAAATGCAGCATCAGACACATTTGGATGAAGAACAAGAAGATCTAAGGGATAAAACTGCTGTGAAGAATTTGAGTTTTCAGGAAATTGTGCATGACCATTCACTTGACCAATCTGTCAAACAATGTCATTTTCCCAAGCAAAATGATGTAGATGATCGGAAATCTGGACAGACATTAGAAAAGGCTGTAGACCAAGCTTCTCAGCAAAATGTGGTGAAAGACCATTTGAGTACGCAAGATGTTTCACAAGGCAAGCCTTCCAAACATACTGTTCTAGACCAGGTATTTGAGCAATCTGTTGAGCAAGACAAGGACATGACTTCTCACGAAATTGTTCAAGAGCAAACATCTGAACAATCTGTTGAGCAAGACAAGGACATGACTTCTCACGAAATTGTTCAAGAACAAACATCTGAACAATCTATTGAGCAAGACTCTACATTTCGGGAAACTCTTGAGCTTGAATGGAAATATGAGCAATCTGTTGAGCAAAACCAGATTTTTATTCTAAATGAGTCACAAGAAACTCCACATTGCATATCTTATGGACAATTTATAGAACATGACCAAGCTTCTCAGCAAAAGTTGCTACAAGACCAAACATTTGAGAAATCTGTGCAACAAAACAAGACTCATCAGGAAATTCCTTTGCCTGGCTGGACATTTGAACAATATATTGAACGAGACCAGGCTAAATCTGAGGAAAATCTTGTTTCTGATTGGTCAGCAAAAGCATCTCTTGACCAAGACAAGACTTTTATGTTAAATGAGACACAAGACCAAACACCTGAAGCATCAGTTAAAAGGAAGGAGATTTTGATGTTAAATGAAACACAAGACCAAACCTGTGGACAATCTGTAAAACATGACCAGACTTATAGGCAAACTATAGTAATAAACCAAGTATCTAAACAGTGTGATGTAAAAGATCAGCCTTTCAAGCAAAATGTGGACAGTCAAATAGCTGTGCAATATGTTGAAAATAATCAGACTTGTCAGGAAGTTATTTTGCCTGAGCAGACATTTGAACAATCCGTTGAAAAAAAACAGGCTTCTCTGCAAAATGAGACACAAGACCAGACAACTGTAGCATCTGTTGAACAAGACCAGACTTCTCAGCAAAATGTGGTGCGAGACCAGTTGTCTAAGCAATGTGTTGCACAAAACCAGCCTTCCAAAGAAACTGTGCAGGACCAGGCCTTTGAGCATTCTGTGAAACTACACAAGGACAGGACTTATGTGGGAATGGTGCAAGACCAGACATTGACTCCTGAACAACCTGTTGAACAAAACCAGACTTCTCAGGAAATTGCTGTGCCTGCCCAGACTTCTTATAAAAATGGAGCATTTGACCAAGCACATGGACGATCTGTTGAACAACACCAGATTTCCAAAGAAAATGTAGCAAACGATCAAATAATTATAGAGCACAGCGTTGCGCTGAACCAAATTTCTAAGAAAAATATTGTACAAACATCAAAGGTGAAAGACCATATAATCACAGAAAACATACAAGGTCAGAGAGTTGAGAAAACTACAATGCAAGGCCTGATATTTGAGAACAATGTTCTACAAGATCAAATATTTCCACAATCTATTGTGCAAGTACAGACATTGGAGCAAGATGTTTTGCTGGAACAGAAATCTGAGACAACTGCAGTGCAAGTTGGAAAGGAATCTGAAAATTTTAAAGATCAAACATTTGATGGTGTAATGCAAGAGCAAGTCACACAGAAAAGTGTTCTTTCAGAGAATAAAATCGAACAAGCCAATCTACATGACAATCATGTGGAGAAAACAACTTCACAAAAAGCAACAGTTGATAAGGAAGAGATTGAAAATGAGCAAATAGTTCAGCAAATCGCTGAAGATCAGAATTTCAATGAACACAATATGTCAGATATTGATATTAAAACCTTGAAACTTTTTGAAAATTCTGAAGAACAGTTTTGTCAACGACATCAAATAACCATAAAACAAAATGCTGTACAAATAGATAGAACATTGAATGGTGAATGTGACCATTACAAAGTCAGGAATGAGAAAAGGATTGAAGTCTTGGACGAGAAAATGATTGAAGGAACTGAGCTCTTTTCTTCACATGAAAACTCAAAGGACAAAAATAATGAACTATCCCTGATGGGTGCAACAGATCAAAGAATGATTTCTCAAAATCAGCAGGTGCAATATTGTTCTGAAGAGAATCCATCCTGTAGACCAAAAAGGAATTTTGTTGCTGCAGAGGACACAAAGTTCACTAAAGAGGAATCGGATATAAAAAGACTGTGTATTGGCTTGCAATGCTCTTCATCAATGGAGGACCAAGCTGTACCATCTGTTGAGACTGCAGATCATTTCCTGACCCAGGAAGAAGCATGCATTTACAACTGTTATGGAGGTACGTGATAGCTATTATTGATTATCTCATTGTCCACATGTTAACATAATATCATTCAGTGTGATTACTTGCATTGGTTGATGNTGTCCTTCCTTCTGTTCTTCTGTTGATGAAGTTTGTCGGGACATATGTTCTAACTTCTATACTTTTTCACCTGTAGTAACCAGATTTGTTGTACAAGGACATCTTGGGATGACAAAGTGTAAGATTTAGGTTACTGTGACCTATCCTTTGACCTTCACTTTTGAAAAAGTTTGTCTGGGGCATATCTTCTATACTATTATACCTGGAGTAACCAGATTTGTTGTACAAGGACATCTTGGGATGATGGAGCACTTGCAGAGTGTAAGAATTAGGTCACAGTGACCTATGCTTTGACCTTTGACCTTCACTTTTGAAAAAGGTTGTCTGGGGCATATCTTCTATACTATTTCACTTGGAGTAACCTTATTTGGTGTACAATGTCATCTTGGGATGACAGAGTGCAGAGTGCAAGAATTAGGTCACTATGACCTTACTATAACCTATGCCTTGACCTTTGACCTTAACTTTTGAAAAAGTTTGTCTGTGGCATATATCTTCTATACTATTTTTCCGATTCGAAACCAGGTTTGGTGGAAATATCATTGATTTAAAACAATTTCCTTCACATTGCTTTTTCTTTTGGTTTACCAAACTAAGCTATCAGAATCTATTGCTCTTGGTACTTTATAAAAGAATATTGCAAATTTCTCCTGTTGGCAAAAAAACAATTTTACCATTAAAAAGATGCCTATAATGTTGTACATGTATAATGTTCCACCCCTTGGCATTCCTGTTGGCTTGCTTCTGATAAACCTTAGTTAAAGTCAGAAGTTATAATAAGGAACAAAATCATTCATACAGTACTAATGAATATTTAAATATATTCTTATAAAAATTTGATTACGTTTTTTTTTATTGTAGCTTCAAAACCATTCAAGAAAGAGACCATTGGAGCAAATGAAATCTGCACTAATGATTCAGTGCTGGACGCTGAACTCACAGAAAAACCAATAATTCAAAATGGTAATGAATCAGTTAAGATTCACTGCAAACAAAAATATATGTACATGATTTATTGAGACTCTAGCAGTGGTACAGGTAGCCTTATTAAATTAGTCACATGGTAACAAATCTGCTGAAATTCTTATTTTGACATGCAGAGAGTCAACATCTTGTACGATCAAAGTCAAGAAACGAAAAACAAATTCTGGCACCAGGAGTTGTTTTTTCTGAAAGAGATTCATAGAAGAAGCAGTCTATAGTTGTTATCCAGCTGTGATGTTCTTTGTCTTGAGCGCAGCATTATTTACTCCATTCTTCTATTTATACACTGTGGGTTCTCACAACACTGTATCAGGTGTCAAAATTCTGTAACCATGCATACCATATAAGCAGATGTTTGCATCCAATCAGGGAATTGAACCAGGGCCACTTTGGTGAAAGGCAAGTGTGCTATCCACTGCGCCACCTGACCACTCTTTTCCTTTTGTATATACATCACAACCAACCTTCACTCAAAACCAACAAAAATACACCAGTACCTTATCCAGCTGCCATCTATCCCACATCACAAGGAGTATTCCAATAGACGCACTAATTGCTCAGTGGATATGACACTTCCTAGATTTATTGTGAGGTTGAAAAAGACAGGGCTTTGTTGCTGCAATACAGAGTAGCATGCCACCATTCGCATGCAGCATCCAAAAGCACTGAAGTATTAACCAGTCATCCAACAAACTGAAAATGTTTTCCACAGCCCATCCTTGCTAGCCTACCAAAAAAACAAAAAGCTTGAGGGACATTTGGCCATGGCAAACTCCCCTTAACACAGCAGACATGAATGGTTGCTCAAAGACTTGTAAACAAGAGATGTAAACTGTGCCATTACACTGAAAGTACAACTTTTAAAAATGTGAAACCACACTGAAACGATGTCGCATCCACAACCAAGCTTCATGCAAGACATCCAATACCATATAATATTCGTTATCTTGCAAAATAAGTAAAAAGAAATAAAAAAAATTGGGATATGGAATACAGATCAACATTCATGTTAATTCTAATTTTCAGAATGTGACTTGCCAGATCAAGAAATGCCTTCACGGGAAGGTGGTGCATTTAAATGGAAGTATGTTCCTTCTTTTGAAACTGATGCTGTTGCTCCAAAGAAAGATGAACAGGATGGTAAATATGTTCTATGATTATCTTCCTCACAGTAAAACTGAGGAAACTACTGATATTTTATTGCTCTCTTTTTGTCCACCCAATCTTTTGAAAGTTTTCAGTCAGGTGCTATTTTTCACAACTTATAATCATGTTTTTTTCAAAAACACTGTTGACTATTCAATTAATCCTTAAGCAATTTGTTTAGCATACAAAAACAACCAAAAGATATTGAATAAACTCATCAGGCTGGAGGTTCATGTTAATACTTCTAGCACTTGAACAGTCCTTATGTTAGTCCATTTTAACCAGGTACTTGTCAGAACTTTCCCTCTTCTAATTTGCAAATACTACAGAATGAAATGTATAATAGACATTAAACCCCTCTTTTTTAGGTTGTGTGCAGCTGATCAGGGTTGTGTCTCTTCCCATATGCAGAAAACCTAGGAGACTTGGACTTTCAAAAAAACAAAAGATTCAACATTTACATCCAAAATTTCATCCTTAATGAGCAAGCATTGATTAAAATGTAAAATTATATCTGTCCAGCCACAATATTGAGTGAAGCGTATCTTATAAACTCCTGAAATGAAGAGTTATGCCCCTTTTTGCATAACTGCTTTTATAAAGCAATGATGGGTTTTCTCTCAAACTTGGCATAGTACTTCCCTATAATATAATGCTGTGTCCTTTAGCATGTCGTCAAATTTGGACAATTTTTTTCTAGAGATTTGCCCATTTTCATGCAACTTTTGTCCAGGATATTACGTCAAAAATATCTAATACATTGAAGTACTTAATTGGAAATTTTATTATACTGAAGTTGTGGAGGGTGTGTGTGTGTGTGTGTCGGGAATCAGGTTGTCTGTCTGCTCTATTCCTCCCAAAGTAATGCACCGATTCATTGATTCTTGGTACACAGAACCCTTACATAGAGGGGATGTGTATGAAGTATATAGATTGGTTCACATTGCTACTTGGTTCACATATTGCTTGTATTGATCTGATGTGAATAAATCATATATATCGACTCTAATGCGGCGACTAATGTGGAGACCCTTCCCAAAGTATTGCACTGATTTAAAGGTTGTTACTGCATACATATAGACACCCCTGCAGGGATCGAAAAAATTAGAATGGTTTTGTGCCCCTATCTTAAAAAAACTTTCTAAAAAATGATAACTGTGATTTTTTGTGAATGGGAGTGGGAGGGTGGTGTTAGTCAGCCATCCTGTCATGGCGACAGTTTTAGTTGTGTTTATCATGTTACATGGGGGTGGGATGGTGGTATTAGTCAGTCATCCTGTAGTGACGACAGTTTTAGTTGTGTTTATCATGTTACAGTGGGGTGGGAGGGTGGTATTAGTCAGCCATCCTGTCCAGGCGACAGTTTTTGTTGTGTTCATCATGTAACATGGGAGTGGGAGGGTGGTATTAGTCAGCCATCCTGGAGTGATGACAGTTTTAGTTGTGAATTTACTAGTCCAGTTTTAGGTGCTATCCTACCTGTTAGGATTTTTCTTCAAACTATTTGACTATTGTTGAATTTAAACTCTTGTTCAAGAAAAAATAAATTGTAGTTTATTTATACTTATGCATTTAAGGACAAAAAGTTTCAGGGTTATCTGTATTGTTATCTGATCTAAAGGTCCAATGTCCATCCATCTGTTCACACTGTTACAGTTTTTTCAAATGATGTCTTCTGAAGATGAATATTCATATGCTGCCCCCCTCCAAGGGTCCTAACATGGAAACGGTAACATTTGAATACATATATGCTATTAGGATTGGCTCTGGAGCCTGGTCCCATCCCTGGGAAACAGTTTTAGTTGTGTTTATCATGTTACAGTGGGGTGGGAGGGTGGTATTAGTCAGCCATTCTGTCCAGGCGACAGTTTTTGTTGTGTTTATCATGTTACATGGGGGTGGGATGGTGGTATTAGTCAGTCATCCTGCAGTGACGACAGTTTTAGTTGTGTTTATCATGTAACATGGGGGTGGGAGGGGGGTATTAGTCAGCCATCCTGTCCAAGCAACAGTTTTAGTTGTGTTTATCATGTTACATGGGGGTGGGAGGGTGGTGTTAGTCAGCCATCCTGTCGTGGCGACAGTTTTTGTTGTGTTTATCATGTAACATGGGGGTGGGAGGGTGGTATTAGTCAGACATCCTGTAGTGATGACAGTTTTAGTTGTGAATTTACTAGTACAGTTTTAGGTGCTATCCTACCTGTTAGGATTTTTCTTCAAACTATTTGACTATTGTTGAATTTAAACTCTTGTTCAAGAAAAAATAAATTGTAGTTTATTTATACTTATGCATTTAAGGACAAAAAGTTTCAGGGTTATCTGTATTGTTATCTGATCTAAAGGTCCAATGTCCATCCATCTGTTCACACTGTTACAGTTTTTTCAAATGATGTCTTCTGAAGATGAATATTCATATGCTGCCCCCCTCCAAGGGTCCTAACATGGAAACGGTAACATTTGAATACATATATGCTATTAGGATTGGCTCTGGAGCCTGGTCCCATCCCTGGGAAACAGTTTTAGTTGTGTTTATCATGTTACATGGGGGTGGGAGGGTGGTGTTAGTCAGCCATCCTGTCATGGCGACAGTTTTAGTTGTGTTTATCATGTACCATGGGGGTGGGAGGGTGGTATTAGTCAGCCATCCTTTCGTGGCGACAGTTTTAGTTGTGTTTATCATGTTACATGGGGGAGGGAGGGGGGTATTAGTCAGCCATCCTGTAGTGACGACAGTTTTAGTTGTGTTAATCATGTTACATGGGGGTGGGAGGGTGGTGTTAGTCAGCCATCCTGTAGTGATGACAGTTTTAGTTGTGAATTTACTAGTACAGTTTTAGGTGCTATCCTACCTGTTAGGATTTTTCTTCAAACTATTTGACTATTGTTGAATTTAAACTCTTGTTCAAGAAAAAATAAATTGTAGTTTATTTATACTTATGCATTTAAGGACAAAAAGTTTCAGGGTTATCTGTATTGTTATCTGATCTAAAGGTCCAATGTCCATCCATCTGTTCACACTGTTACAGTTTTTTCAAATGATGTCTTCTGAAGATGAATATTCATATGCTGCCCCACTCCAAGGGTCCTAACATGGAAACGGTAACATTTGAATACATATATGCTATTAGGATTGGCTCTGGAGCCTGGTCCCATCCCTGGGAAAATACTGGTATTTTCAACATTTCTTTTAACAAGACTGTTTTTCCATGTATTTGATATCCAGATGAGTGATACAGGGCCTCATCCTAATTTTGCCATGTTTTTTTTTATTATCTTTACTTTTTTCTTCATAAGTTGAAAAGTAACAAGGGTGAACAATTTCATATTTAGTGTATTGAAAAATTCTGCTCGTCCTACATGTCTTATTTAGTGATTTAAATACTTAACTTTCAAGTACATGTAACCCTGGTAGTCTAATTTAATTGTGTCAAGACAGTAAAATTGTACACCTCTGATTGAATTGTTTTTGCCTTTTCACCCCTGCACTAAACTACCTGCAAGATAACTTATTCCAATAGGACCTGTTAAATTAGTTGTTTACTGAAGTTATTGATGTTTATTATTAGCTCATCTAGCCTGCCCAATGCCAACTTCCATTAAACGATATCTTCCAAATAACCTAAAAGGCCTAGGGTGATGATATTTGACTAGTAGCATGCTTGGGTTAAGGTCAACCAAGTCTTTTCAAATGAATCATCTTGACCCACTCTCAATGGCTTTCGGGTCAAAATCTTTTAATGACCTCTTCTTAAACAAAATGCCCAGGGTAATGATACTTGGCTAGTGAGTCAAGGTCATTCATTTGAACAACTTTATAGCCTTTCATCCCAGCATGCTACTGGCAAAATATCATTACCATGGACCTTTTGTTTATTCGGAAGAAGTCTGGGCCAGGTACCGGTGAGCTAAAATGTCAACTTCAGGTTTTTGTTAGGGGTCAAAGTTGAATATATGATATTTTTACAATTGTCTTCAATGAATTTCTTCTTCTTTTAAAAGGGGGGTGGAATCTGGTAGAGTTTAATTGCATCTGACTCCAGGCAATACTTTTGATCAGTGGAAATCGACAATATCTGATATATGCAATTTCAGTCTGGTTATTGTTATACATGTTTGGTACCAATACTCAAAGCTTTATTTAGTGAATATGATCTTTTTATGTATTTATAGATTTTGTAATATAATGATTAATTGGAATATTATGATTTCAAATATTTTCAAACTATTTTCTATGTAAAATTTAAGATGACTATTCTTATATAAACTGGGCCAAGCTCAGCATGTGTACATGACTGTACTTAGATATCAAACAGAAAATATAGTGTTCTATCTTTCTGTGTAATGTATATTATGTCAAGGAACATACAATGAAAGACTTGTTGATGATATTGAATGTGTGTTATTTTAAAGACAAAAATAAGCCATCCAAGCACTACTGTGATTTTGTTGTTGAATTTCATCAATGTACTAATACATTTGTATACATGTAGAAGTATTTCAGGTGAAACAAGTTTAAAGTTTTAAAAATAAATGGTTACATTTAATGTTCCTCTTATGTTTTCAATCATCCTTCTCATTTGCTCAATTGTTGTTTACACTATTGAAAAGGTTCCAATAGTTTGACAAAACATCATGATCTCTGTAAGGAACTGATTTCCAACATAGACGATATAATAACCGAGTCCTAGGTGTGTTCAACTTATGTAATAAGAATATGCTGCACCTCCACTGGCTACAAACCACCTCCAATAAGGAACATTTCAACATAATCTACTTCACTCAACTTAAAGCACAGAGGACTTTGGGTGGAAACAGGTATTATACCTGCATCTACAGTTCCCCACTTCAGAACAGCCAGAAGTCTACAAATTCAGATCGATCACGTTGAAGTCCGACTTCCACATGGAGTTTTTAAGCAAACGTATTAGGAATGAAAATGTAAACCCAAGGGCCTACTTTATAATAGTCAACAACTTATTGGGTGTGGTGATCTAACACTGAATCAAAAAACAAGTATGCCTCAATCTTATAGTAATAAGTCAACAGCCTATTGTCTGTGGTGATCCAACACTGTCTGAAACTTGCTATATAAAATAATACAAAGAGTTATCTCCCTTAGTTCTAGCATTACCAACTTTTCTTGAAACCATAACACAAACCAGATATAAAATAGTGTTTTACTCTTTATTTTATAAATTGCATAAATATGACAAATCACTTTACATATATTTATTTGTATATACTACCTTTTGCCTGTCACAGACTTACATGTTTACATTTTAACATGTTCACAACAAGTTGCCACAGGGCAATTCATATGTCTGTTCCGGTCAATGCCAAACTGACATACTAAAATCCTTCTGATGCATTCTTGTATTAAAATAATGAGATGTAACAAGACAAAACTACATTTGTAATGTATTATTCTGCTTTTAAAGCCGAGTTATTTCTGGGATGTGGTGAAAGGAGACAACACATTGTACATCACTGGTCAAGGAATACATCTACATATGTCATACTTAATACATCTAAAAATATATATTTTACTTGCATAGGAAATTGAATCACTTAGCGAATATTTCCAACCATGATAAAAAGTAACTGGTTCCAACTCCTTTGCCTATTAACATTCATATTAAAGATCCCAGTCTCACCGCACTGACTGTGTACCTATATACCTAGAGTAGCCTTCCCTTTAAACTCTGGTTGGATATAACTGTAGCACTGTTGTGCAAGAACACTTCCATCGACCATGGTAGGAGTCCAGGATTCAAATCTTGGTCTAGCCCAACTAAATTTTTTACACTCGGAACACTGCTCTTGAATATATTTTCTTTATTTTATCTTTATTATTTTTCATGAAATTCCCGCAAGGTATGATTTACTTTTCAGAAATGATTGATCAAAGATTCAGTCATGCCAGAATTTCACAGTGTTACAGGGATCCTTAAAACCATTTCAACCACAAGTAGCAGTTATTGTCAATACACATGACATTGTGTAAATATTGACCAACAAAACTTTAAAAAAAAAATATCATTATGTTATAATGCAGAAACCTCCAACCACTCGCATAATTGGGCATACTTTATAATGCACAGATTATGCCCAACTTCGAACGAAGCGTTTGTCTTTATATAATATAAATTTCAGTATTTGTTTTTATCAGAATCAAGTCATACTTAACTAAGTTGATGTGCTGAAATCATCAACCAATCGGGGACAGTATTCTAATTAATTGTGAAGATGGACGCTCCCCATACCTTGACAGGTCCCATCAAAATTTTTAACGGGCATATAGCACAAACACTGGCATACAAAACAATCTTGCATTTAGTATATGATGTTTGGTCTGAAACCAGGACAAATTTAAGTACGATGTCATTTTCTAATAAATTTTTAAATCAGATATGTTATTCTCAAAATGTTTACCCACATGCATGTATACCAATTTCCTCAAGTCCATGGCTTCATTATAAATAAGGTGACGGTATTAATTTAGATTCACAGTAAATGTCATCATAGCTTTAAAATATTGATCATGTCAAAAAGTTCAACAAGTGATATTCCTAGGGAACTGTTATACCAGTGTACAGCTATGTAATTACAGGTGTGGAAAGACCACATACAATCACAGTATTTTTAAAATTATGAGTTTCAAGTAAATTCTCAGTTTTTAATTAAAACATTGAAATATGAACCATATTTTACATTTAACATCAGAATTAACAAGATGTCCCAGAGGGATCTTGGCGCCACCCTGGTACCATTATCATGATTCTTAACACTGATAAGTCGCAAGACTTAAAGTTAATAGAGAACTTGAACTTAATAGATTTTTTATTTTTGTCTTATCTGTTGGCCATCTTGGGCCATCTGATTGGTCCCAAAATTCTTTATGCATAACTATTGACAGACCATGGGGAACACAAGAATGATAAAATAAATAAATTAAGAGTAGGAACGTTCACTAAAAGGCACTCTCCTTTGGTGTGATTTGTACAATAATAACTTCAGGAGACAAAAAACACAAAAGCTGCATCTGGTTAATTACTCGCACTGTGGCATATTTACAAAACTAAATGTACCAGTCATCGTTATTACCGGTCATCTTCTCCCGTACCATATTCACACTATAGAAATCACACATACATGTTATTAATGTATATATAGTTTTGCTTTCACAAAGTTATTTTCATGATAATGTGGTAAAGTTGTATGGTGTTGAATTTGTCAATTAGTGACAATTGATATATTATTACCTTCATTTATTTTACAACAATTATGAAATACATTTTTCAATTGATATTAATCACTCTCGTTAGCCTGGATAGAAAGCACACAGGAGATCTTAATGTGGGAGGAAACCAGATCCCGGAGAAAACTGAGGACCTGGAGAGAACCGAGGACCCGGAGAAAAACTGAGGACAAGGAGAAAAAACGAGGACCCGGAGAAAACTGAGGACCTGGAGAGAACCGAGGACCCGGAGAAGAAACCTAGGACCAGGAGAAAAAACTGAGGACCCGGAGAAAACTGATGACCTGGAGAAAACTGAGGACCCGGAGAAAAAACCGAGGACCAGGAGAAAAAACTGAGGACCCAGAGAAAACTGAGGACCTGGAGAAAACCGAGGACCCGGAGAAAAAACCTAGGACCAGGAGAAAAAACTGAGGACCCGGAGAAAAGCAATGTGGTTAGGCAGATGACCCAATACCTTTCAATCTATTGAATTAGTGAAAGGCAAGTGGGCTACTGATCACCAAAGAAACTGTTCACCCAGTAGTATTTATTGATCAGACAACTTATAACTGATACAGATGTTGAGATAATTAGAGCCTCGTGGATTGGTTCCTGTACTGAAAGTATAATAGAACTAAAACTATAGATATCTTGCTTAGTCCCCATACTTTCAAAATACATGCAACAATACAGTGAACATAACATTGTATGCAGGCATATGTGACATACATTTTGTCATGATAAACATGTGTATGCAATAAAGTGAATTTTCCTTCCTCTTGTATACATTTACATAAAACTGTTAGCTTGCATGCTACACATTTCAGCACTTTGTGTATATGGTAACATTTAAACAGATTAATCTAACAATGCTAGTATAGAATTGAAGACAATGTTTCTTTGATAACTTAAAATTTTACATTGATGTTTAATTTCTTAACCAATTTCTTTTTCATGGATTTATTCAGCACTTTGTCATTATATTATCCAAAACCAGTCAAATATTTACAACAGACTTTATACAGTGTGGTAGACAAGGGGAAAGATAGATTATTAGAATCCTGTTCTTTATTCTGGACAACAGAGTTTTGAAAAAACGTCAACACATACAAAGTTTACAGTAATTTTAAACTTCAACAACAAATTTGAAATGCACACCTGATATAATTAAATGTAAAAGTAATTGTAAATATATTGTACAAATCCACAAATTATAAAATGTATTGAGTGATTGATGCTCTAATAAGTGAATAAATTTGAACACATGTGTATATAATATATAAATGTATATATACATACTTGTATAATATACATATTTGTTTAATTATGTTAATGTGTAACCTGCAATCTCCTGCATTTTTGGAAATGAAATAAAACTGAATTTGAAGTTCCCTTTAATAAACATAAATATAACATGGTGTTGTGTCAGCATCTTTGTTCTGATATTACAATCATGTATCACATTTAATTGCGATATCTCCCCTGTCCATACCTGATACACTGTACCACAATCACATATCGCCTTTGATTGCGATATCTTCCCTGTCCATTCCTGATACACTGTACCACAATCACATATCGCCTTTGATTGCGATATCTCCTCTGTCCATACCTGATACACTGTACCACAATCACGTATCGCCTTTGATGTTAATATCATAATCAATTATCATCACCAATGAACGTGAACCATCTTAAAGATTTTTTTAAATTTCAAGAAGATAATTTATGATACTGATCTTAATATTTCACTGGTACAAAAGGTATAAAAGTGACTTACTTTGTATCATGTTCATACCCAATGGTGTTCACCTGATGTCTTATAATATACTGATCTCTTATTAAAACATAGATGTCATCACAATCTGCATGGATTTTTTAGTATTTCACACTGCTGGTACATATATACAAGAATGTACTTACAGTGTGCTAACCATACTTGTAATAAATAGACAGGTATGATATTTAAACACTGCTCTTGATTTTCACAAATTTCTCACTAAAACATGAGAAGTAATCAGTTTTGTTCAGCATGGAAATGAAGCACAGGAAATTCTAAGTTTGCCTTGGTTGATTTAAACTGGTCACAACGGTTGTCTCACACATCTCTCACTGGCACTCACAACTGGAAACTAAAAACTGAAAAATATAAGATGTGTTTATTAATGTATAGTGTATATACATGTAGTAGACAGTTGTTGGTCTATAGCAAAGACAGCCGTTCCAACAGAATGTTATTTAAGGAACATCATTCGGTCATAATTGATACAGGAGAACCAAGGTCATACAGGATAAAGAGTAACTGCCATGGAAGATACAAGAGTCAAGGTCATATTTTACATAAGAGCCAAGCTCATATAAGATACAGCCAGCCGTGATATTTTGTGGTGCACAGTGCTAGCTAGCACAGATTATTACCATACACATATGGTAGTTAGGTAAGAAATGTGATTTTGTTGAAGGACAAATCAATACATTTCTAAATATTAAAACGTGACTGTAACACAGACAGAACTGCTTCAGTAGCCATATTTTGCAGGGGTATGATTCTACGGATGAAAAGTATCTGAAAGTCAAATTAAAGGAAAACTATACCAAATCAATGTTTGTTAGTTTATTCAGGGTTTAAGGTCCTCACAACAATTCAGGTCATAATGACAGACCAAATTTGTTATATTCACCAACCCAACGAGCCTATCATCTAATACGGAAATAGGGTTGATCTTCTATCAATAAGGACATGCTATCACAGCTATATAGCCCTGCCATAGAGCACACATTAAAGGGATTGGTCCAGGGGGGCATAACTTTAACACCATTTTAAAATTAAGCATTTTGTAGCTTGATTTGGAACTTAATTCATAAATCGACTTATACATATGTTCACTTCATCGTCAAATTCAACAAAATCCCTTTTTTTGTGTGTACATTTATCACAATACCTGCAGTTTAAAAACTGAACAGGAAGGAAATTCCCCATCACTTATTATATTTCTTTTGTAATGTAGTTATAAATGTCATTAAAATGTTGTGATATAATTTGATCATATCACACACTTAATATATTCAATATCCAGTCTGATCAGATGGTTACCACATTGGAAATGTCATGCAAGAAATGCACTCCAACTGCTGTAGACATGTTTGCGACAACCATATATAATATGTAGTACTCGAACGTTCATACTCTATTCTGTCCTGGTATATACTTACATTTACGATGACATGAATTTACTGTTAGGATGCTTGCTGAGGGGGAGGAAATCTTGCCTTCTTCACATTACATAACCATTTAATGATGCGTGCGTTTTTCTCCACCTGTGTTCCCTGGGGAGAGTTACGTTCTTTTCCATCATCCTTTTTATCTTTGTCTGCTTGACTCTTTGCACCTTGGGACACCCCACTCAATGAGCTTCGATCCTCAGAACCCAGCTCCAAGGAACTTAAACTCTCAAAATAGTCACTTTCCTTTTTGTGATTGTGCTGAAGTTTCATCATGGGATCCAGCACACTCCTGTCTATACCCATTTCATTAAAAAAACGCTCCAGTTCTGTGCTTGTCCGAGAAAGTCTGGAACTTAAATCCGAGAAATCGGAGCTGTTTCTAGAATGTCGGCAACTGAGGTCAGATTGAGACCTGTGGAGGGTTTTTTTCCTCCTCCGTAAGATAGCTGTGTCTGTTGGAGTGTGTGTGGTGCTGGTCCCTGCACATCGCTTTTCCACTAGCACCGTGACTGATGTACTGAGGGATTGATAAGTTGAGGGTAAAAGGCAGTCCCGAGACCTTGGTGGTCGCTCCGGGTCTCTGGACCGTGACAATTTTGGCTCGGTGTCACCGTCTTTAGACTTGGAGTTCATCTTTTGAGTGCTAGTCCTACTCTTACTACAGTTGCTATTACTTTGGTCAGATTTGTCACTTACACAATTTGAAGATGTTGAATTGGCACTGATGCATCGAGGTCGACCATTTTCAAAAGTATTGATTTTGGATGAGTCACTGGTCTCAACACACTGGTGTACCTGATTTAATCGTTCCGTTCCACTTGAGATGTTAAATTTTGATGGTTTTGGCGGTAGGTCAGGGGGGCGGGACTTTGTTTTTTCCCTCTCACCAGATGGCAACACTGAGACTACAGGCCGTCCGACAATGAAAGAGCAGTTTCCATTCAGATCAGAGTCTCCTACTGCCAGGGAGAATTCTGATTTTGACCGTCCCAGATGACTTGGCGTTTGCCTGTAGGAAAATAAACAATATTGATTATATAGGGTCTGCTTTGGTACCATGTCTCACATGTAACGTCTATAATTTGATGATCAAAATGCTCTATACTGCAACTAAATGTCTAGGTCTTACATCTGTTTTCAAACAAACCAAATTGACTGTATTTGGAATTGATCTGTCCTTATACACATCTTTTTCTGGCAGTAGGAGAATCCAAAATAAATATGTGTAGCCAGCTTGGAGTTAACGACAGAGAATAATGTCTGGTGATGAAAAGAGACGTCTGAAATTATTCTGGTTTGAATGAAAACACAGCATGCAAATGTCTTCTTAATTCAAAACAGTTTTTTAGTAATGTACGGTGTAAATGTATTGTTTTTTCCCCCCTGATGTTTATGAGTATAATGTACCGCCCACTAGCCACTTAAGTTATCTCTCCACGAACTCCCTGGCCCACTGCAGCAGGAAACGACTACATGACATCTCCGTAGAGATATGTATTGTGTACAGTTGCTGGATTTCAACTAAAAACTCTGACATTTGTCATAGAAATTATCTATTGACCCTAAAGTTTGTATACATCTAACCCAATTTGCTGTGGTACACCGAGCAAACAATTCTTCCCTATCTGTTCTAGCAGACATTTATAAACATTGTAGATAAGACTGTAACAGATCTGTATATCACTACAAGAGGCTAAAGAGGCCTGAAAGCGCTCCGCAGGTTAATGCGGCCTTTTAAAAAATAACTTTTAGCACTCCATGTCAACAAGCTAGTAGTTAAACAACATTTTCCTAAGTCTTTTGGTTCTTCAGAGGAAGTCATTTGAGCATTTATAAAAGTGAGACCCTTATGTCACCTCAACAAAGACTAATAGAATCTTCCCCTACCTTGAGGGTGTGACAGAGAAATCTCCAACCTGATGGATGATGGGTTTTTTTATTGTCTAACCTGAGGCTGATGTTTTTTTGGTTGTCTAACCTGAGGCTCTGCTGAGGGTAAGAAAACCAAAAAAACATCACCCTTCCTGTTGGAGATTCTCTGTCACACTCTTAAGGAAGTGTAAACAAAAACACATGTGGGGTGTAAATATCATCATTCACTTTTGTTGACGTCACAATTACCGGTGACACATTTTAATGATGTCACAATTCAACATGTGCTAATTGGCACGAGGCTATCTTCCCCAAGGGAGTGACAAGCTGATCTTTCCTGGCTAAAACAGGAGAGACATCTGTGAAGGTGGGAGAATAAGTTAATCAGATCCCTCTCCGAGGGAAATGTGAAAGACAATCTAAATTTTAACGGTGAGGGTGGAGATGGAATGATAGAAGGGTTGGGACAAAAAAACGTTACCAAACCATCCAGGCAAATGAATGACCATGGTAACAGCAATTCGGGACCAAAGTTTATGTGGTGGTAAACTGACCTTAGTTGTTGCAACCATGCTTTCATGGTCACTTAACGAGAAAAGTAAACCATGATTGAGCCTGGTTATGTATTATGAAACCATGATTGAGCCTGGTTATGTATTATGAAGCCATGATAGTACAGCCATGGTTAGGCATTGTTTACCCTAGTCAATTATGGTTGAAAATCACTTAACTTGCCAGGGCAGTTAAGATTGATGTATGTACAAGGAAATAGTCATGTAGATTTCTGCCAAGTTGAAGAATAGAAAGCTGTCAATATGTAGGTATGTATATGGATTAAATGAAACATGACACAAAGGCCCAAATGTGACATTGTAATTTGTAATTGCTTTTTACATGCGGTCATGAAATGATAAGGAAAACATCATTGTATCAGGTCTAGCAAACAATGAAATCAAAAATTGTTTTAGATGCCTAAAAGTCTATCCCTTATTTGACCATTTTGGGCCCCTTTAATAGGTGTTTCCATCAGCTAGGCATTTTACTCTCTGTAAAATTTCATTGTTGAGAAGAGGTTTAAAGAAATACTGTATACAAGGTAATGTTTTGCTTCAGTTAAATTTTTGCCTTTTTTGCCCGCCGTAATGAAGGTGAATTTATAGTTAACAACATAATATATGTATTAATTAAACGTGAAGGGCGATATTAACACGAGAGGAATATGGATTATTCTGGCGAAGGGGGAAAGTTTGACTGGACTAAAGTAGATTATGGATGGCGGACAGCAATGGATTGCACCAGCTCCATCTGAGCAGGAGTAGAAACTGTCAGCTGCCAGAGTTTCCTGCACAATAAGCAGATTTAGATTGCTAAGTCCAACAAAGAAGATTTCATTCATAAACCAAAGCTATTATATAACTGTACAGAATTAGTAATGCTCTGAGTATGTCACACATATCAGGGGAAGGATGCTCATATACAGGTTTTACACTTATATACAGGTTTTACACTCATATACAGGTTTTACACTCATATACAGGTTTTACGCTCATATACAGGTTTTACGCTCATTTTCTTATTCATATTTTCTACTTCATGTAAAGATCTCTTAAATTTCAACAAACTTCATTTCATTAATCTGATGCAATGACCAGAAAAAGATTGATTGCAAAAACTACCTTGTATATGTATCACAAAATACATACTACTTAATGTAGCTTTTCTAGTAACAGACATTCATTAGACATTCATTAATTATTTTTTGTTAGATTCTTAAAAATGTAAACTTAAGATAAATTGAGTAAAATATCCAAATTGTTTCAGCAATAACACAAATCATCTGTAATGGAGGTATGATTTTTGAATGTATTTAACAGGAAGTAAAAGGGATATGGCCCATGCTGGGTGAATATGCTGCGTAAGTATGGGATATGCTGCGTAAGTATGGGATATGCTGGCAGTTCAAAATTTGGCCCATGAACAGCTAACATTGTTGAACATGCAAAACTACTGATAACATGGACAGGTAAACGTATATTATAATGTTTTTTTTATATATTATAACTAAGCAATTTGGACATATGTTTATCAGTAACTAAATTTTTCCTATGAGTAGGTAAGGATGTCTCTTACTTTCCTAGGAGTAGGTAACAGGATGTCTCTTACTTACTTTCCTATGTGTAGGTAAGGATGTCT